ACGGACGAAACGTAGCCGTGATAGGCCGTCAACGCAGCTTCTCGCGAGACAGTTTGCCTTAGTCTTCGTAAAGCGTAAACAAATCTGTTTAGGTTCATGCACATCTGTTCGATGTGTTCCTTCCAGTTAAGGTTCTTGTCGATTGTTAACCCAAGAAAGTTAAATGTGTCTACTTCATCTACAGTATCAGAGTTGTAATTAATTTTAACCGGTATGGGATTTGAGTTGTAAGATCTAAATGTCATAACTTTGGTTTTACTTATATTAATGATGAGGGGAATCTAAGATGTGGGGATGGACTCTACTCCTTTGGCGGGAGGTGCGATGATGGAAACAAGACTGTGGCACCAGTTCAAAAAGTTCCTCAGAGCATTTCCATTTTAAAGACGGTAGAACACACACGGAGAGCCAACCACTCTGCGTGGACTAAGGGGCTCGATACCGTCTGCAAGTTTTGGATCGTCGACAATACGAATACAGCCCTACGCTGGATGGAGTCAAGTGGGTCAAGCTAGTATTTGGAAGCTCCTGCCCAGAGATGCGAGCAATACTCCAGGGGCCGTACTTGTGTTTTACATAACAAAAGTCAGTGACCTGGTGAGAAGTACTGCTTCACTCTATTGGGTATTTCGAGCTTTTTTGAAGCCAGTTTGGCTTTGCTCTCGATTTGTTGTTATTTGACATATGCATGCCTCCGAAGTTACGTAATTATTGACATACAACAATAGACAAAAAATGCAATACTCCTGGACGCTTGTATTTTGTAATTTTAGTGAAGCGACGTGCTCTTTAGCTTCGATATTTGTCGAGCCAACAGATTATGTAACGAAGATTATTCAAGTTGACAAATTTTGATAAATATCTAATAAATTATAATGAAAGGAAATAAATATAATAAATTCTTATTGTTTAATATAATATAATTGTCCAATTCTTCTCCATATGAACGGGAATCATCATTTGAATCTTCATTAACGTTGATTATTAAGTCTTGAGTACACAAATTCATTAGAATTCGAGCCGTCAAAAGGTATTGTCTGCGACGTGTGACTCAACACGTCCGGTATGGGGGTATGGGGGTCCGGTAGCCGGTTTCGGAACATACATGATACTTTAGTAAATAAAAATAAATCATGCTGTATGTATTGCACTATGTGTAGCGCTTTTTTCTCAAAGTTGCATCAAGCAATGACGTCGTTAATTTTTTCATCAAATCTTGCTTTTAATTTTTTTTTGTTTTGTTAACTATAACTTTACGAAAAGAACACAAAAAGGGTGTTGCAGTATTTTTTCTCGATAACATTTTACATGAATATAATTCTCAGACGTGATTTGTGACTTGTGCAGTGTACATGTGTTATTTGTAACAGTGTCAGCAAAAATTGTATCCAGCGGTTAATAGCTGAAAAACGACGAACAATTAACACATATTAGTGGCGTGAAAAATTTGAGATATTTACTTATTTCTACAAAAAGTCAACCATATTGCAGCGACCTAAGGTTTATTTTCGTTTTTTATAACATAAAATCTGTTACGATAAACAGAGAATGAAAAATTTATGAAATTTAATAATCTGAGTACAGAGTACTAAAAAAACCGACCTCAAAAGTCATTCATCCCCTAGAATGCCACATTTAGGGGTGGAATATTTTCTTTTAATTGGGACAACAACAAAAGAATTATCAAAATCGGAGTTATCGCGTAACATACATGGAAAAAAAACATACAGTCGAATTGAGAACCACCTCCTTTTTTCGCGTCGGTTAATAAAATAAGAGTCAAGGAGCACTGTATTATTATTAAGTATTTATCTAAATATTTATATAGTCTATAGTAATTTAATATTTTTGCTATAGTTTTTTTATTATTTTATTACATAATTTAATTTTGTTTAGCTGTGCACGTAAATTGCAGTTGAGATTTTGCGTAAGATTTAGAAGCTGTAGAGCTCCTTGAGAAAGACTCCGTCCGGGCAAGTACTGCCACCTTACCTATTTCCGCGGGCAAGCGGTAATGTGATGCATTATTGCGTTCCGGTTTTGAAGATTAAGGGTGCTGGTGAAATTACAGGCACATGGGACTTGTCAAGTTATGTCTCCTAGTGCCTAAGGGGCACATCTTTGCGATCTGAAGCTCTGTAACTGTTATGTAGAGACTTGTCGCTTACCATCAGGCGCACGACTTGTTCGTCCGGTCACTTGGTAGCTTAGAAAAAAAAGATAATTGACATGAGTGTGTTTATTGTTCTGTGGTCATTAATATTTATTTTCTTCCACAGCAATGGACTCTGCACTAGCAATAGACGTGTCATATTTGGCTCAACAGAAAGCCTTATACGATATCATCGAGAAAGGGGGTTCGGATATCCAACAGTTTTACAAAGGAGCAAATATTTTCATTACGGGAAGCAGCGGGTTCATCGGGAAGCAGCTTGTCGAGAAACTTGTTAGGTAAGAATTGGTGGAAGGTTGCGTTGGAGCGGGGGCTCCGTTCGAAAGTAAGTTTGACAGCATCGAGGAGGACGACGGGGCAGGACGTAGCTTCTAATAGGTATTGGGGGGGATCCGGTGCGCAAAGTCGATCCCGGATCCCTCCCACTAGAGCACCCGAGAAGGCTGGGGTTTTAGCTGGTAAAAGTCCGGAATAACCTAACCGCCGCGGGGGCAGCGGAGAGGTATCCCAGATGAAAAAAAAGAAAGAAAAAAAATGGTGGTGTACGGTTTTCATACACGTGTAAGTTCTTTGTTAAATATTCGCGCGGTTTGCAACGTCAAATACGTCATTCACGAAGACGCCCCCTATTGGCGGGCGTAAGCACTGCACGCCGTTACTTTCGAGCACTTTCACGAACAAGACAAAAATGACCGGTGTTCTCTAAAATACATAAATAACCTAAAATCTCATGAGACCGTGAAACCTGGTGCTAAACAGACATATCGTGAACTTGTCCATAACTCAAAGCCGTGCCCCGCGGATCAAATTATCCTCACCGTGGTGTCGCCCAAATCGCAGCACGCGGTGCCGGCTAGCTAGCCGCCGTGATCCAGCAGCTCCTGTATTTTCATCAACCAGATCAAGGTAAGTAGTGCTTTGTTCAGTGTTTGGCATTGACGGTGCAAACCTGTAGGTACGGTTCTCACCTTCCAATAGGAATCGCGAGACGGCTCACTGTGGAGCTACGTCTATCCTGCAGATGTATGGATCCTTACCATTTTGTTACCTTCATTCCCATACAGGTGGAAGGTTGCAAGAATCCGATAAATAAAATAATAAATATTAAACAACATCACGCACGTTTCTCCGATACCGAAGTAAGTATAACTAAAGCACTTGTGTTATAGAAATCGGAAACAACGATGGTGCGGACAACGGCACATTAGACTACACATTTTTGTATACACACTGTTTGTGTTGTTCACACACTACGAAAATCGCCTCCAATACAACGGAACAAGATACGTCAATGTATAGATTCCACCTAAAGCAGAATCTATCAGGAATCGAATCCAAAACCTCCTCAAGTAGCGCCCAGATTACTGACTACTGGACCACCAGACCTAAAAAATATACACCGTAACATTGCATTCGGTTTTCCACTAAATAAAAACATGCATCTAAGCGTCTTGTATATGTTTTTATTTATTTAAACTAGCTTACAAAATACAATTTTTTAAATTATTATTGTTATAAAGTCCCCATGAAACAAGTCATTTTGACATTTATTTTCTTTTTAAAAAAAACAAAAGTGTAAGAGTTGTTTTGAGAACTATTTACCCCCGACCCGAGACAATATAGAGAAACTTCTCTATATTGTCTCGGGGGGTTTGTTGTACACACGCCACATCAATCTATACATTGACGTATCTTGTTCCGTTGTATTGGAGGCGATTTTCGTAGTGTGTGAACAAAACTGAAAACTAACTAGTTTTCTACATTGACTCGGCCGGGGATCGAACCCGGGATTTCAGAGATGGCGCCATGGAAACCGGTGTGCCAGCCAGTCGATCACGGAGGTCATATTCAGACATATACACACATGGCTGCAATTTTATTTGATATAGTAACAGTAGAGCCACATGTAAAAGAGTTAGTCCAGGGAAGTACTGCCACTTTACCCATTTCTGCCGCCAAGCAGTAATGTCAGCATTACTGTGTTTCGGTTTTGAAGGGTGCTGTTGGAATTAAAGGCACTTGGGACTTGTCAACTTATGTCTCAGGGTCAGGGTGTTAGGCACAGTGGCAGTGTCCCTCTGATCTTTGCGATTTAAAGCTCTGAGTGGCACTTCAAATGTTACAGTGGACAGGCGTATATTATATTTTTTTTAAAGTAGTGTATGTGAGTGTTACATAATGGAAGGCATTAAAACACGACTGTAGGCTCTCATCTCATCGTCTCCCGAGTGTTTTAAAGCCTAATTATGTACAGTTACATACACTGCTTTATCTACATATTAAAAGCTCTTTGTGATGTGTTCAGAAACCGCATGTTACGAACGGGGAAATGGCGGCAAATAAAAACTTTTCTCAAGCATGTCACACAACCGTAATTTTGATTTTTAATTCATAGACAAACTGGAATCGGCCCCAACTATCATATCGTTCGATATCAAGTAAACGTGTGAAATTGTCAAAATTGTTTGCTATTGACATTTCATTTCGAATAAAACTTCATCTCGACTGATATTAGAATTGAAGTCGAATCAAATTGTTTTGTTTTTCAGAGATGTTCGAAATTTGAATGTAATAATTAAATCGAATTTGATGTTAGAAGCAATAATAACATTTTTAACCGACTTCGAAAAAGGAGGGAACCTCGTCCTCAATTCGACTGTACTTTTTTTTTTGTATATATGTTACGCGATAACTCCGGTATTTGTGAACCGATTTTCATGATTCTTTTTTTGTTGGAAAGAGGGTATTTCCATAGTGGTCCCATTTTATTTTGAAGAATATCATCCACGTCGAAGGGTGGCTCACGCACGAAGATTCATTTTTATAAATAGCGCCTAAATTCAATTTAGGAGCAATTACTTTAATGGTTGATTTTGCTATTTCTCCAATTCAAGGCGTTTTTCTCTCAATATACTTTGTGTAGTGTCGTAGTGAGAACCGATTTTTATTATCTCCAGTGTTAAGTCCTGTATAGTGGCGAACTAGGGGATATTTCAATAAAACTTAGCAAATAGACGTAATTCCACGTACTTTTGAGGTCGGTTTTTTTAGTACTCTGTACTGATCACAAATAAGAAATTTGTTCTAACATTATGTCATCCGGGAACGAACCGTGTTCTTCATTGGATGGAGGGCTCCTTAACGACCTATTAAACAGTTAGGACGAATTTCGATAACCCGTTCCCACGCTCATAAAAGTCCATTACTAAATTTATTGATAGAATATTTTTATGATGACAATCGCAGGTAAGGATTTGGAATGTTGAATAGGTAAGATTTGAAAACCACGGTTTACATAGTCTCAGTACAGAGTACTAAAAAAACTGACCTCAAAAGTACGTGGAATTACGTCTATTTGCTGAGTTTTATTGAAATATCGTTAAATTCGCCACTATACAGGACGTGACACTGGAGATAATAAAAATCGGTTCTCACTACTCAAAGTATATTGTGAGAAAAACGCCTTGAATTGGAGAAATAGCAAAATCAACCATTAAAATAATTGCTCCTAAGTAAAACTTAGGCGCTATTTATAAAAAATGAATCTTCATGCGTGAACAGCCACCCTTAGAGGTGGATGATTTTCTTTAAAATGAAATGGGACCACTATGGAAGTACCCCCTTTCCAACAAAAAAATAATCATGAAAATCGGTTCACAAATACCGGAGTTCTCGCGTAACATACATACAAAAAAAAACCAGTCGAATCGAGAACCTCCTCCTTTTTGAAGTCGGTTAAAAACAGTTTATCTTTATGCTGGTCGTAATTTGTGGTTTCTGAACACATTATAGAGCGTTTATGATATGTGTGTAGATAAAATATTTTTATTTATATACGAAAGCACGATGAATTATCAAAAGTTAGTTCTATAATTTAGTTTACTAAATGGTAAGGTGGCAGTATTTCCCTGAACGAACTTTTTCACAAAAAGCTCTACTGCTAAAAAAAGATTGAAATGGGCTCTTTTGCAACAATCGTAGTATTGATTTATTATAAAGAGTAATAACTTCTTTTTCAGATCGTGTGATGTAAAGAAAATATATTTATTACTCCGATCAAAGAAAGGGATGTCAGCACAGGAAAGGTTGGAGAAAATATGCCAAAATACCGTAAGTTTGGTTCTTTTTTAAGCTCAACATTACAACAACATTACAATAGTGTTGCAACTCAAACTACGTGAAATTCAAGAATGTACTTTTGCTGAACATAAATGTTTTTTTCTGCACGTCAACGAAACCTTCATTTTATTTTTTATTTTTGCATGCCGTGATGTTCCTTAAGTGTAGAAGCACTTAATTTTAAGCTATTATGTTCGATATTTAATGTGTTGTGTTTTTCTATGTAACTACTAACTATACTATATAGGATAATGACATTTTCGCAACACTTAGTAAATACCTACTCGCCAAAAAACAAACTACTATTAAGACGTCTCACCGACACAACACTACTGTTAAAAAGATCCATATCAACCTTTTTATTGCAAGTTAGAATATTGCAAGAATCAATTAAAAGATATCCTTTATTGTCCTTTTGACGGCGGCGATGGCTAGCAACCAATGTATATTGTGATTACCGAGTTGCAAGAAAATAATTTTGTTTCGAAATTATAGTATTGTATTGTTCAAAATATTAGAAAATACAGAGTTTTAGTACTTACCCATGAAATTGAATCACTCCCGGAGTATTTTTTATACTTTGGCTTCTTACGCGACATGATATAATGGCACAATATTTCTATTTTTTTCACAAAATAACTATGTATCACATTTGAACGACGACTGACGTGCTGTGGACACTCATATGCCCGTCTGGTGATAAGCTAGGTAAAGCGGACCCCGCCCACTAACCAGTCTATTACTAGTATTTATGTGGTCTGTGATAGCTATAAACTTAGAATAATAACGCATAGAATGATAGTTTCATATCAAACGAACTGTCACAAGTGAGGCAAAATCAAATTCATGTAGGCTAGTTTTAGTAGTAGGTTAATTTTCGGTTTTAGTGAATATTTATATAAAAATACAAGTCGAAACGCGTTACTTCCTTGTGGAATGTGATGTTAGTATCTATTTTATGTTGGTCTGATGTATTTTTACACTTGTTAACCGCACATTTCGTCATTTTTAGCTATAATTCTGGAGCTGTTCGCGGTGCAAGTTGACCTTGAGCACTGACGGCCCGCCCGCTCGTGTAGGCCCTTTTAGCGCGCTTCAATTTGCCTCACTTAGCGTGTGCGGACTAGGTTTCTATGCGTTATTATTCTAAGGCTACAAATATAAATATACCTACTGTGTGCGTTTCTTAATTGTATTTATATTTTTATAATTTAGTAGCAGTAGAGCTCCTTGTGAAAGAGTTCGTCCAGGAAGCACTGCGACCTTACCTATTTCTACCGCAAAGCTGTAATATAAAGATTATTGTGTTGGGGTGCTGGTTAAATTATAGGCACATGGGACTTTTCAACTTATCTCTCGGGCCGACGGACGCAGTGCCAATGTCTTTCAGATCTTTGCGATAGCTCTCAGTGGCACTACAACTGTTATTCCGTCACTTTCACTTGTTTGACAATGGCTCATTGTTACTGCTACTATCTATATTTGGTAGTAAGTCATTTCGTCTTCCGAATGTTTTTTTTTGCTACCGCACACGGTTATCGTCGTTTAGAGCGATCTATTTTTTTTTTTTGGAAGTAAAATCTGTCGAACTATCAAATTTCATGGAAAAAAAGGAACTTCATACATATAAATGTATAATAATAATATAATAACGCACACACTCGACATAGTCCCACACTAGGGAAACCCTGTGTGGCCATGGACACACACGTAGACAATCGCAAATTACACCCAAACTCACGAGAGAAATAAATGTAGGCCATACAAATTTCTCCCGGCCTGGAAATCGCACCTGGGACCTCTGCGTGGCAGTCTGTTGATGATAACTCAGGAAAACTATATGTCTTAGAAACATGAAAAATTGAGGGTACTTTTAATTTATTTATTTATTTTATTTTATTTATTTCTTTATTTATATTCAGGTTACTTAGACCCATAGATACATACCTTACAGACTAACATACATAACAATATAAAATAACACTATTACTAATTTAACACGCATTTAGGTTGTCGGCGACGTGTGGCGCCATCTGGTGTCAGGCAACCGGCCACGGAATCGCCGGTATAGGACACCCTTCGGCCAGAACTCCTCCTTCATGAAGGTCGACAGATGTTCGGTCGGCACTCTCACCACAAACGAATTAAAGTTCACGTAGTGGCGGGACTCCAACCGCTCGACCCTCAGGGTGTATTTGGATTTCAACCTGATGTACTCCACTATCTCCTCAGACTTCGTGGAGTAATGCAGGCGTGACAGGTACAGCAGCGTTGTCGGGATTGCCGGACGCAGCAAAAAGTTGGACCCTGTCGGTGCAGTGCCGCACAGGTTACGGCTGTTGGGCTTCCTCTTCTTCTTCTCCACCTTTGTGAAGCCGTCATCGTCGCACCGGTCCGTCTGCTTCTGTGGTTTTCCAACTTCAGAGACAGGTACACGAGGCTTTTCATCCCCTTCGTTGATAGCTGCCTGGCTTGTGGTTGTGGAGCAACGGGTCGGTTAACAGCTGCGACAGCGGCGTAATCACGTGGAGGGGTCAACGTGTTTACGCGTGACGTCTCCGCCGGAGCGGACAATCGAGGGGCGGGGCGCGGGGAATCGCGCTCAGCAACTGCGGTCGGTGACGCATCCATATGGGCCGACTCAAAACTGCCGATAGATGCATTATGTGCCCCGCGACGAGTATTCACGTTACAGGCCTCGGGTGACCTACTTACCGAAGTTGCACTACTCAGTAATACAACTTGGGCACGTAACTCACAGATGGTGTTATCCGAAGCCTCCAATTTACATTGAACTTCGGCCAGACTTGCTTTCAGGGATGTGATGTCCTTAAGCAGCCTAGTGACATCGACATGGTCGAACGTGACAGGGGGCAGCTTGTGCAGCTCCTTTGCCACGAAAGCAGGCACGTCGTCTGGGTCGGTTTCCTTTAACATCGTTATAATGTCCTGGATACTCTTCGTTCCTCCATCCCTCCGGCGAGATGGCATCTGCTCGGCCTTGCCAAGCACACGGAAAAGCAGCGCCTTGCCACTGCAAATCTCATCTTCTTTAAAGTTTGATTTGCAGATCTGCATGATGCTGACCTCGTCCATAGTGTCGATGGCGTGTTGTATGAACGCCAGCAGTTCATTGGCTATGAGTTGTTGGGAACCCATAGTCAATTACGCGCAGCGGTCATTACCGCGCGGATCGCGAATTATTAATATAATTCTTACTGTGTGAGCACGTCCGAATCTGAGCGTGCATCGCACCGGACTCCGGATTGTTTGCACATTTTTAGTTCGAACGAATTTGTCGAAATTCAACCACTATGAAGCGAAGAATGAAAAAAGGGTAAAAATATTTGTAAGAAAAACCATATTCCTTGAACGTATAGATAAAACTTGGTATAAATTTTTTCCAATGCAAAAATAATAAAAAAGAGAATTAAAGTTTATATGGGAACTTTTTAATACTTGATTTTTAATACGTGATTTAAATACAAAATGAATAAATACGTGTTTCAGGGTTTTTCGAGAAAAAAACCTCTAAATAAGTATAAATTAGGGTATCGAAATATTTTTAAAAACCTTTTCTATAGAAGATCGTATTCCTTACATTTGCTAACTTGAATATTTATCATTCGTGTTTTAGTGGTATATAATGCACGTAAAAATTATACGCCGACGTAGTCGAGGGTATCAGCTAGTGATTAATAAATATAGTTACAACAATTTATTAATGCTAACTCCCTTATTTTAAATAATAAAAAAAATCTAACATTTATCCAACAGATCTGGGACACTCTGCGAAAGAAGCAACCTAACTTTCACGAAAAGCTGGAGGCTGTTCCGGGTGACGTCACAGAGTTGCGGCTTGGCATTTGTGAACAGGACTGGAAAAGAATCACAGAAGAGGTAATTTATTTTTCACCTCACTACCTCGGATAAGCTTCCTTTCTCATTAGAAACTGGACGATGACCATGGACTGTGGTGCACCTAAATTTTTCTTTCGATAAAAAAAAAACATAATAACACTTTCATTACGCGATTTGTCGTACATTATTTACATAATGT